ATATTTGGACTATATATATATTATATATAAGATATAAATATATCTCAACTACCTAACAAGTACTTTTCTATGCCTCATATAAACAAAAAGTTGTACAACATAATCTTTGTCCCCAACCTTGGAGGTCTTCAAGTGCATGATACCTATTGGGATAGTTGAAAGGCAGGGAACATATTTAGACATATTTACTGTTCTTACTTTTCAGGGAGAACCAAATTACCAACCATTTCAAACAACATTGTTTTTTATTTCCTTGGTACCAAATCAATAAAAGTCAACAACAGCTGTTGCTTAATGGCCCCAAAGAGTGAATGCACTGCCTAAATTGAACACAGTTCAGTGTTTACACCAAGTGGGCCCTCAAGTAATGTTGACGGATTGGCTTTCTCACAAGCAGTAAAAACTCAATTTTTAGAGATGGCTCCTGTAAGACTAAAATCAGTAATTCCAAAGCAGGGTGTGTGTTGAATTCTAGGTTTGTGGCAATACAACAATGTGTTATAAATATAAAAACTACATTTATTTGTTTCCATTTTTTAAAAAAAAATGTTTTCTAGTTAATACTAAGAGATTCCCAATAATTTTGAGTGATAATCTGAATATACAAGACTAGAAATTTGGATGATTCAATATAAATATTCTGATAGTGATACTGGAATGATTATGAAGAATCTGAAGACTCAAATATCTGAAGATACAAGCTTGTTGATTAGTAATAACTTTAAATCACAGTAATAAAGAGCACGTTCCAATTGAACTGTTCATTGCAGATTATCTTTAGTGTATAGATTTGGACCACGTTCTACATTATTGTGCACTATTCTCTAAACAAGATGGGCAAGTTGTTGAAGATATGCCATGAGTGGTCATTTAATTTGAAAGCATAATGAATTTCCCCTTTTGCTTCCAGCCATACAACCATGGGGTTTTGTGGCTTTACCCTTTGATCAGGTGACAGCTCAAAAAGCATCTCCTTAGTCAAAGCAGAATCTCAGAGAGTAAGGGAGTGGGCTGTTAGGAAGCTCAGGAGAGCAGTGCTTCTGCATCCTATGTCCAAGGCAGAGCTGTGCTCGACGTTTGGAAAAGTTTGGGCAAATAAACTAACAAGTATCTAACACCACAAGATGGGGAGTGGAATTAGCTCAGAGAGCAAGGAGTCAGCCAAAAGATCCAAAGAACTGGAGAAAAAGCTTCAGGAAGACGCTGAGCGAGATGCAAGAACTGTAAAGTTGCTGTTATTAGGTAATATTTTTTTTTCCCTTTTGCTTTCAAAACCCCCACTTTTTTTTCAATTATGATGTATTTCCTTTTCTCAAATTTTAATTTCAGGTATATTACCATATGGGGGATGTATAATGAATATGTGCTTGGAAACTTAAAAAGATTTTATATGCCCTCTATAAATGTTTACTTTGCTTGTTTAATATTTTATTTTTTTTGCTTAAGCAGAGAGACAAATATTTATGAGATGATTCAATTCCTCTTTGTTAATAATACAATTTACTATTATTAAAATAAAACTCATATCCATTTATTATTTTATCTCACCCTAATCATTTTCTGAATGTCAGTTATTTAGTACTGAAAACAATCCTTTAATTACAAGTTATAAAGAGTTACATTATTTTGTTTGAACAGAAACATGTTGAGTTGTTTGATATCAAATTAGTATGTTATTTAATTACTTGTGCTGTGAAAACCAATTAGTCTCAAGTTATTTAGAGAGTAATGAATGATAAGGTACTTTATATTAATAACACTGTTCAGGCTTCTGAATATTGCCTGTGATACTGTTTTACACTTGTAAAATACTCCATTTAAAGTCTTTTAGGATATTTATATATTGATTCAGGTCAGGAATTATGTTCCTTCTATCTTTTTATCCTTTTAAAACTCAGCACAATGTTTTACCACAACTCTAAATTCAACAAATGTTTAATGAGTTGAAGGAAATCTGTATGCTGCACATTTTTCTAAACATAAAAAATCTAACATATAGTGGTCACAGCAAGAAAAAATGTTTTTGAAATAAAAATCAAGACCTATATAAAGAGATCAAAACAAGAACTTTAATCAGTTGTGTGTTCCTCCTGCTTAGTTACACACAAAAGGACTTCATTTTATTTCAGAATTGTGTATCGTTCACATGAAATACCCTCATTTTTCTAAGTGCCCCCTTTCCTGTGTCTAGTTTGCTCCCAGTGGCAAGAGTGTCTCAGAAACCAACTGTGGGATTCCCAGCACCTGCTCCTCAAAGAAAAGAAAACATTCTCTTCCTTTATGCACAAGTTCTGTGGCTCACACTTGCCCACAGCACTCACAAGTAACCACCTAAGGATGGGAACTTAGAAAGATGTTGGGGCCAGCTCTTATGAAAGCACCGAATATATTTTCCCTCACACTCCAGAGCATTCCCTGAGGCTTTGATCAAGAGTAAAAGTAATGTGGACATAGAAAAAGCAAATAAAAGAAGAGAGGGAAAGCCAAGCACTTCTACAAATGCATTCGGTGTCCCTCTCTTGTACTAAGAACAGTGATAGAAGAGTAATGATAAAATATATTTAAAAATCCCTATGTTGAGGGGCGCCTGGGTGGCTCAGTCGTTAAGCGTCTGCCTTCGGCTCAGGTCAGGATCCCGGCGTCCTGGGATCGAGCCCCGCATGGGGCTCCCTGCTTGGCGGGAAGCCTGCCTCTCCCTCTCCCACTCCCCCTGCTTGTGTTCCCTCTCTCTCTGTCAAATAAATAAATAAAATCTTTTTTAAAAAACACCTATGTTTGAATAAAATTTCCGAAAGACTAGACCTATTCTCAATACACCAGTTATTTTTAGATCAAAGCGGTTGAGTTAGATCAAGAAAAGAGGGTAACTTTTAATACCAGAGATAAAAAAAGAATCACTAGGAGCACTATTTTATCTTTTACTTTCCCCAGACAGTCACAGTTTCATAAATTCAGTTCCAAAGTTACCAGACAATACGCTTGGATTTATTTGGTTCCGACAATATGTGCACCGAACTTCTTATTTACACAAGTGAATCAAATTCTCAAGTCTTCCTCTTTCAGTTTAGTCCAAATATTTGTCTTAAGTTTTCCCTTCTGGACTCTTGAGTTCTATGCATGATCGTTCAATTGTCAAGTTCAAAACAACAAAGTCTTGTAAAAACTCTGCTTCAATCCTCATTTTTTCCTTGAACTCAAATTCTCTAGTCATTTTTTATATGCAATATGGCCTCATTAAGACATACGAGCATTCAGTGGAACTAACCTAAACCTTGCCATCCTTCTACACTCAAATCCCCTCACGAATGAAATTTAACCTCTCCCATCATTGAAACAATGATTCCTATTCATGAGAGCAGTCTAAACAACAGTTTTTATGTGTATCAATGTGTGTGTGTCATGCGGGACCGACCAGTTAAGGCTTGGTAGTGATCAGATCCTGATTCTAACTCAATTTTTTAAAAGATTCAAATTGAAAAATATTTTTGACATAAGTCATGCTTTATGCTGATCCTCTTATCTAATAAATTCTAGGTGCTTAAACACATAACACAACTTACCAAATTTAACATGTGCTGTAAAGAAGATGTACCATTTGGTATTATTGCAGGACACAAGACTTCACTGAAGTTAAAGAGCTATCTAATGGCTATTTTACAAATAAAGAATCACCTTGCAGACAGGTTCCCTCTTTATTATGCCTTTCAGACATTTAGTAATATTACAGAAGAGATGCCACATCTTTTTCCTTCGCAAAAAGCAGGCTTCTAGGAAACACTGGAGATGACTCAGACATCCCGGCCACATGTGAAAATTGCTATCAGGACAATAATGTCATATGCTTTAAAAAGAGGGGGGAAAAAGCCTGTAAAGATGCCCCGGAAAGAGTACATTTTAATAAGAAGAACAAATTCTAATGAATAACATGTTCTCTTTTGGAGAATTCCTAAGTTAGTTATTTTTTAAAGACTTAATTTATAAATGTCTGATTAAACTTTATTTCTGTTGAAAAGAAATACCTGTCATTAAATTGCAGAATCAGTGTGGATCATTTCCATTCTTTCCATGTCCCTTCTCTTTATATTTTACATTAACTTCTTTAGTACTTCTGTAAGTTCAGAGCTTAATGGGAAATATAAGGAAAACTTAGCTTTGTTTTCTCTTCATATTTGAAACACAGTCATATTTATTCTACAATTTTCAGTTATGATATTATAATTAGCTTTTAGCCAGTGATTTCCAGCACTATCCTGGACTGTTCATCATTCATTTTCTTTTAACTCTAAACCTTTATATTCTTTATTTTTCTATGTGCTATATTATAAATGTCACATAACTTTTTAATGGTGCTATTTGAGCTTTATTGTCTTAAAATATTATTGCAATCATCTAACTCTTAGAAACATGAACCCGAACATCCAAATACAAAAGAATATCTACTTTAAATGTGTTTATATTTACTTAGGTAATCAACATTTTCAAATTTTTCAAATGGCCCCACTTACTCAACAAATGGATATTTTAGAAAGTGTATCATTTTTCCAGTATGACAGTAGGAGAATTATAATAATTCTGACACTGTCTAAAAGCTTATTTCAAAATAATTGGTAAAACAAAATCTGCACAGCAGAATTGACTAAATAGGCGTATCTACCTGGCAGAGTGGAGAGAATGTAATTCAAAACAAATGAGTACAACGTGTTTTTAAGCCATGTGAGATTAAAAAAAAAATTGATTTAATGCTTTCATTATGTTATGCCTTTTTCACATCTCTGAGGTACCTCAGGCTAGCCACATAACCTCAGAGAAATGGTGGGTATCAAAGTATTTTATAAACTGTAAAAATCCAGACAAATGTGATTTTTGTTGTGTAATAGATTTGCAAAACTGAAATAAGTTGAATGTCAGTGTATACAATTTTTCTTCCTTTTGTTTTCCTCTTATGTATACCTAAGAGAAAAGAAGACAGAAATTCAGGTTAAATCAAAGTTCTTACTTTTATTCTTTCCTTTTTAAAGTAGGTCTACTTGGAGAGTTTTCAAATTTTCTCCAAAATGCGATGAACCATTTGCACCATAACAATTTGAAAGTTCCAAAAGCAAAGCCAAATATTTATAATGTTGTATTTATTTGCCACCGATGACACATGGCAGTATCAAAGAGCTCTATATAATGTCCTCTTTCCCAACAGGCAAAAAGAACTTAGACAAATGTTTTGCATATATTTGGTTGTTTGTTTTAAGTTAATCTATCTTAAATAAGCAGCACATCTTATACATAGACTCGGGTCTCTCACATAAAAGATGCAAACCATTTATTAAGGCATTCCATATTTAGCCAAATGACAGTATTTGCTAATGAGATTAAGTACTCTGGAAAAGACTGGTTAACTCTAACTTAACAGAACCTCTCTAGTAATATCACAGAATTTTTTGCATTCACTTTTTTTCATTCAAACTCTGAATTACTGATTCAAGAGCAAGCGATACTGTACCTTTAAAAACATTTACATAAGCACCAGGAGCAGCTAACAAAAAGTCACTTACACCTCCAAACTGTTAGAGAGATAGGAGGGTAGTGAACTTTTGAGAGCATAATAACTCCATGATAGATTTCACATAAAATATACCTCCAGTTAAGATTTTGGACTCAAACTCAGAATCCATCTGCTTATCTAAGTTTTCTCCAAGTATTGATGTGTAAATACATCAGTGTAGCCTTGAACCTATAGAAGTAGGATTGATTCAATGTGAAACTGAGGATGAGACCCACCAAGATGTGGAAAAACACCCATTCTGTTCATTAGATTCTGATGCTTTAAAGCAGATTTCACAGCTTTCATTCCTGCCTCAGTATTTCATATTCAAATAGAATAAATGTGCTACTTAGAATTGTTCCTTTTTTAAGATATCTGAAAGTTTCAATCTCTGACCAGCATTTTATATTCTCTCATTCTTTTCGACTCTTGCTGAGTTAGTTCTTTGATTTCATATACTTTCCTGACCCCTTCAATCAGAATCAGCCATTTTAGCTTCATTCCTCTGACAGTTCTGAAATATCCTGTCCCTTTAATCTTTTGCCTTGAGATTCATACCCTCAACCCTAGCTAATTCCTCAAAATTCTCCATTCACCATTGTTCTAATACACTGAAGCCAACCAAGTTCCACCAAAGTGATGCTATTCAACATCTTTTCAGCCCTTAGGGATGACCTAACCCTGACCCCCACGCATACTCCTAATT